ACGCAGCTTCCCTTGTCCTGGGAATTTTCCCTCTGCAGCTCCTCCTCCCCCAGCTCCCAGACCATCCATTCTCCCCTTTTCAAACTGCACCCATTGTAAATGGCATTGAATATTAACACAGCCCATTGAGCACTTGCTTCTTTTGTATGGGACCCCTGCGTTTCAAATTGCAGTCACTGCAGAGAGGAAAAGTCTCAAAGTGATTAAATGCCGTGAAGTTTCTCAAAAGGAGAGAGGAATATGCAGAGGAGGTCCTAGAGCTTTTCACTAGAAGCCAGGGGCTTCTGCGTGAGCCAGAAGGGCTTCTTAAGTGGGGGTATTTTTTATTTTGTTACCAGTCTCGTATTTACTGTTAACCCTAGTCCGATGAGCCAGTTTCTGCTCAGTGTGGGATGGAGAGGAGAAGCTCAGGCAGCAGATGCAGAGGGCTTGCTGTTAACTGCTGCCCTCCTGTAGGAACTGATAAATAAATACTGCGGCGTGCTGAGGGTGGTCAGCGAATCCACCGACACATGTTCGCACAGGAAGGGTGGATTTACTTGCAAGCACGTGTATTTATTTGTGCTAAAGCAGGAGGCCCGCAGAGGCACAGCTTTGCGAGGAGGGGCTCTGCTGTTGCCCACCGGGGCCAAGCTGCAGCGCAGGAGCTGCGATCCCGCGGGGTGCAGAGCCATCCTGGGGCTGGGATGTCCCAGCAGGACCACTGGCAAGGACCAGGGAGCACCGGAGCTGGCTGTCACTGCAAGCCACGCAGGAGTTCTTCCACAAGCACCGCCAGCTCCCAGCAGTGTCCCACCTGAGCAGGAAAACCTCCCTGGAGCACCACCCAAGCTGGCTTCGCAGGATGTCTTTGGGTTTCCACTGTTGCCCCAGGAGGAGGGAGAGGGACCAGCCACCTGCACCAAGCCACATCCCTGTCCCAAGCCATCCTTCCCGGTGCTGCAGCCCCCCCGGGCAGCCGGCACACGCTGAGAGCTCCACAGCTGTGCGGGAGCCCAGGGTGACCATGACTTAATCTTTGTTCCATTATTTCAGCAGGCCTGGAAGCAGGACGTGCAGGAGAGGTACTGCCAGCAGCACTCCCCTCTCACTGTCAGCAGGAGAGGCCCCCACACCACCTCCAGCATCTGCAGGAGCAGACTTACTCCAGAGCCCCAGAGCAAGTAATGCCCTTTCCCAAAATCCCATGCAACCAGCATCAGCCCCTTACCAAGCAAGCAAAGAAACTACTCTAACATGTGAAAGCAAAGCTACGGGACCTGACACATGAAAACCCCAGTTTAGCAAGAAATTTATAGGTAATTTTGAGCACAAATATTAAGTTCCATTTAATAAAATCTTTGTGTGTATGCACTTGAGCCCAGAAAGAGACTGCTCCTGACTCTTAGCTCAAATGCACTTCCAGACCCTGAAACCACTGACAGGCACCCACAGGACTTTAAAAAGCATTCAGACACTTTGCCCTGATCTCTCCAGAGAGCAGCAGCATCGTGCTAAGAGCCAACACACAGGCAGCTGGTGCCTCGGGGCAACTTATCCATATAGCCAAGCCCTGGAGCCTTCCTGGGAAACAGAGAGCAGCTCTTAGCCCAGCTCTCCTGGGTACCTGGGGATGCTGCCTGCTCCCAGACATGCCAGGCACATGCACATTGACCCAGAGGCAGAAGGGTCCCATGCACAGATGGTCAACATCCCCTAAAATATCCCCTACTCACTTGGATCAAAAACGCACAATACTTCTGCTTAAAATAAAAACTTTATTTCCTACAGAGTATGCTAGCAATGAATTAACTATCCAACCATAGCCTCATTGTCCCTAAATCTTCTCAGCAAAAGCTGTACCTAAAATACTGTTAATCACTAAATAGAAAAAGGAAAAAACCCGCAGTCATACACGATGCCTAAAGGAAATAGCTCTTCTGTCACTCCTCAAAAATCAAGATGCATGGAGAGACAGAAGCAGAGGACGCAGTGGATGTACCACATCACCAGTACTACTGAAACCCTGGCTTTTTTGGGGCAGGAAGCATTCTGTACTTAAGCTTAGCCCTAAACTTTATGCCACATGGAACACTCTACTGTAAAAACAAACTTCAGACTTAAACACCACAAGATGCAAAGCACCTCCAAAGGAAGGCACTGCAAAGGAGCTCTGTGCACCCTTCCCAGGATCAGGAACTGCATCTGGGTGCTGCTGCGAGGACAGGATGGGTCACGGCAGTGTTGCAACGTGCCCTGTGCAGCAAGTCAAGAACACTTATATAACTGGTACACAGTGCTGAGCTGCCTGTTGCTTTTAAGAAAAAAAAAAAAAAAAATCCAAAAAAACCCACAACAAAAACAACCCTGAAAAACATCCATGCCACACTGCATTAAATGTGAGTGACTGCAGCCCCTCTGCGTATCAGCTATTCCTTCTGAAAGCTTGGGAGAAAAATTGCAACTCCGAGCTCTGCTGCCAGCAGAGAAATAACAATAGTTTCAAAAAGCCCCGGCGCTTTTCCTCGGTACTGATAGTCCTGTTGACAAAATACGCGGCGTGATTAAGTCTGTTCCAGAACCCTCCCCGGCTGCCGAGCCGCATTTCCAACCCGACAAACAAAAGCTTTATCTCCAACACACTGAAAACCGACTCCAAGCACTGCCTCAGCATTGTGGCACTCGTTAGGAAAAAAGATAAACTGCTAAAGAGGGATTGTTCAATAGAGCCTTAATGAAGTTAAAGCACTGCCACCAGAGTCACTGGAAACTGGATTTTATCTCGTCTCCTATTAGCGATGGAACATGCCCAAGCTTATCACCCCGGGGACCAAACTCCTCCGGCGGGACACAGCCTGCCCAGCAGGGACGGAGATGAGGGATGCACAGCTCCAACATCCCTGGCTCTGCCCAATCTATGGCTGGAGAACCCGCACCCCCCGGGCTGCACTCCCGCATCAGCCATGGACCACTCCAGACCTTCACGTTTGCCTTCTTTTTCTTTAAAAGAGTACGTTAAAAAAAAAAAAAAAATCAAAAATCCAAAAAGAAACTGAGATACTTGCATAGAGGTAACTTTTCGTTAGCACATGGTGCTTTTATAGAGAGCATTAAACCAGTAAATTACTGAGTTATCAACCCTCTGCACAAAAAATGAACATTTACGATCCCACTAAGCCTGAAAAACATGCTTCATCCTTGTGCTTCTAAACTGAAATAGGTAATTTTAAGTGCTTTTTAGTAATTAGAAACAGTATTACTCTAAAAACAAAAGTACTTGCAACGACTTATTTTTACACTAGCTACGGAGAGGAAAAAAGCCTTAATGTTGTATTTTCAGATACAAAAGCCATCATTTAACCAACTCCTGGTTAACTTTGTAATATACAAAGTTACAAACCGCATTCTAAAACATCAACAGCCCACTGGTTCATAGCAAAAGATTTATACATGCTTTTACTTCACCAGTAAAATTTGAACTGAACACAAGTCACTCCAAAACCTGCTCCATTTGAAAAAGACACTCCTGGGTATTAGCACTCCGGAGGAAAAAAGCACAACAATAAATTTGTTCTGTCTGAGTTATTAACGCACTTCCTTGCCCAAACAAAGATACACTGTCCTATTTTAAGAGTTGCATGGGAATGCTGGAATTATTAAAAGCTTGCTCTGAAAGGTGAGGGAAAGATCCTTCAGAGCAACAGGTGAATGGGATGAGTCAGGGCTTTAATGCAGAGGCCACGCGTTCCTCTCAGTATGAGACATGATAATTTAATGTAAAACCAGGCATTTCTGCAGCTAAAAGTGAATACCACCAGGAGAACCAGGCAAACCTCTAATAATTCTTTTCAATAAGGAGCTGGATGATCTCCAGCAATACTTCAGTGACCGTCCTCTCTCCTGGCAGGGCTGAGGGTTATCTATTACAGCCAGGGGTTTTAGATTCGATAATTTATTAATCTGTTCAAACAGCAGAAAGGCCCCGCAACAGAAGCGCTGTTCCCTCTCCTTTTCTGGACACTGATTTCCCGAAGTTAACTAACAGTTCAGGGCGCTTATTTTCACAAGTTTGTGAGCGCACACACATATTCTAGTCCTCTTGGACTGCTCAACGACTCGACCTGTCAATGCCAAGCACACATTCCCCCCCGAATCTCCTCAGCATCAAGTTCTGATCTTTTATTTCAGCTTCCACGAGCCCAGAGCGGCGGTCACACAACGGGAAACTCGCTGCGCTTCCCGGGAAATGCCAGTGACACCGTCCTGCGCTCGGACACGAACCTGAGCGCTTCGAAACACCCTCCCAGGGATAAAAAACATCGCACGGTGCTGCAGCAACCACCAGGTGCGGGGCTGTAAGCTCAGCTGCCCCCCAGGACATCCGATACCCGCAGCTCGGAAACCTCGCTGCACACGCAGTACGGAGGGAGCGCAGCCAGCCGCGCCGCCTTGCCCGGAAAACACCTGGATTTCACCGAAACTCCCCAGAAGCTTCGACTCTCTTCCGATCCCCCGGATTTCACAGCCTAGAAAGTTGGCAGCATTAAAAGCCAGAGAAGAGCGGGAGCGGGCGCGGCCGCGGCGCTGGGGTCCGGATTCGGGCAGCCGGGCGCGGATGGACGGACGGACAGACGGATGGATGGAGCATGCCCTAATAAGGATTCGGAAGCCCAAGCTGGCCGTTATCTCCAGCAGATCCCATCAATAAGAGACACCAAAGCCGCTCCCGGCTCCCTTTCCTCCGGAGGTCAGCCCCGAACGGGACAGAGATACGGGGAGCCCCAGCTTTTCACCGGAGATCAGCACCGCTCCCGCCGCCTCCATGCCCCCCATCCCCGGGTGCGTGCCGGAGGCAACACCGCATCCCGGGACCGGCTCCGCACCGCGCAGCGCCGCCCCACTTAAATAAACCAGCCGTGCTTTCGCGGGGATTTCTGTCTGAAGTTGACAACAAGCCAAAGAGCGGTGCTTCGGCCGCCCGAACCCCTCGCCCCGTCCCCGCGGAGGCCCCCGGTACTCACAGGTGGCGCGGCCAGCGGGGCAGGTCCCGGGGCAGGGCGGGCATTGCCAGCCCGCCGCAGCTCAGCGCGTCCCCGCCGCAGGCGCAGCCCGCGGGGCAGCCGCCGGCGGCCGAGCGCAGCAGCCCCAGCAGCAGCAGCGCCGCCGCCGCCCGTGACGGCAGCGCCATTTTGTATCCGGCACCGGGGAACGGCCGCGGCGGGAGGAGGCGGCGGGAGCGCTCACGCCGCGGGCGCTCAGCGCCGCTCCGCCGCCCGCAGCATCGCCCGGGCCGCCGGCCCCGCGGGGCGCTACGGCACCGGCATCCACCGGGCACTGCCGGGCGGGTCGAGTCCGCGTCCCCGCCGCGGGAAGCGCCTCCTGCTGCTCCCCCCGCTCCGCGCCGCACGGCTCGGCGGGCGCCGGCCGGTCCCGCTGCGCTCCCGCGGGCTCGGAGCCGCCGCCGCCGCTGCCGCCCGGCCCGAGCGCCGCTCGCCGCGGACCCACGTTGGCGACACCGCAACATGTAGCCGCGCCGCCCCCCGCGCGCCCGCCCATTGGCTGCCGGGCGGCCCCCGCCGCGCCGCCATTGGCCAGCAGCTCCCCCCTCCGCGGCGCCTCGCCGTTCCATTGGTGGACGCGGCCCGTCAATCACGGGCGCGGGGCCCGCCTCCCTTTCCCACTCCAGGTGTGAACGCGGGCGGCCGCGCCCCCCCGCGCTGCTCCTCTTAAAGGGGCCGCGCCCGCCGCTCGGCCCGCGCTCCCAAACCGTCCGTCCCGCAACCCCGGCAATCTGCGGGAACGCCAGGGCTCCGCGCTCCCAAACCATCGGTCCCGCAATCCCGGCAATCTGCGGGAGCAGCAGAGCCTGCGGACATCCCGGGCTGTCCCTCCCGCACTCCACGAAGCGGCCGTGGGGCTGCGCTCCGCACGGCCACGCGTGTCCCGCCACGACGCGGTGGCAGGAGCGGATGAGTTCCCGAGGCGTGTCCCAGAGCACACCCGGGCACAGACTGCACGGCCCCAATGTGCTTTTTGCGTGGGGAAGCCCCGCACAGGGCAGGTGTAGAGGGCACCTCGGGCACGGCTCATTTTGGGCAGGACCGCACCGAGAGGATGCTCCCGAGCTCAGTGGAGAGCATCCAACCGGTTTGGGTCAAGTTTGGATGTGACACAACACAGCATTTAGGGAAGGAAGCTCTTGGAGTGTCCAGCGCGCCCACGGCGGGCGGGAGTGTCATTTAACCCCTTACAGCAGGAGTTACTTGGGCAGAAGGGGATTTTTTAGGGAGAGAAATGCATATCGCAGGGCAATCCTGCTTCTGCTACCTTTGGTTAAATTTGCAACCTTCCCCCTGCCGTATTTCTTTCCTGTAACAGCATCCTGCAGTGCAGGATGCTCCAATCATGGTGCTCATCGTATGCAATTCTTCCCAAAAAAAAAAAAAAAAGCTGCACAAGGGCAATGGCATTTGGGGCTGCTCAGAGTGGGATCTAAGATGTAACAACTCATAAAAGGCATCAAAGCTGGATAAGGGTTACCTAGAGAATAGGATCAGCTGAACAAAATAAACAGGTATGATGTTGAATTTGCTGGTAAACCCAACCAAAGAAACTCCATTTGGCCCACTGGTTGTGAAAGTCCCATGTCAAAGCCTCAGTGTCTCTTCCCCATGCAGGATGTGGAGTTTTGGCAGCCTCACGAGTCTCATGAGGATGATAAGGGCACGTCTGCTCTCCATACCCTGAGTAAGAACCAGCAGCAAGGAAGGGCAGCACACCGGATCATTATCAGCAACTGACAGAAGAGGAAGGCAGGTGACAAAGTCAGCCTTTAGAGTGATGAACAATTTGGCTTTTGAATGCCTGGGCTTCAGCATTCCTGCCTGTAGTCCCAAAACTGGCAAAAAAAAAATCTTGTAAGGTCATTCTCAACCATCAGCATCAGTGATCACAGTGATAAAATGCTGCCTTGATGATGTGAGGGAAGGTGTGAGAGGAGACACGTTTTTGGGAAGCTATCACTCTGTGTGAGGACATTCTCACCTCCTGCCTATTCTCCTTCTAGATTTCTTTCAAATGGGTCAGTGGAACCATGACAACAATCAAATCTTCTGCTGGACCCAAAAGCACTTTTATGGAGAGGATTTCTCCTGCTCAGTAGGGATGGTATCCTAGAAATAAAGAGACCTTTTGCTTCTTTTAAAGTGTTTTCAGATTTGACAGCCAGACTTTTCAATTAACTTTAAAAATTCATATCAATATTTTTCAATATTAGGGCAAGAGGGTAATTACGGAGTTTTCCATGGAGAGAAAGAGAGAGAGAGAGATCCAAAAGCTTTAGATAACCTTTATAAAACAGAAAGCTAGAAGCAACTCTTCTAGAACCTGGGTCCAATCACCTCAGCTTGCACAAAATATCCTTGCAGAGAGAATAAGGGCAGCTGGAAGGAAATGAGACTCTTAGTTGTGCTCTCCCTCATCCCCAAGTCAATGCCGGTGCTGGAGTCTGTGTGCAGCATGGAGGATGTTTCTTCCTCAAACCTCATTAAATCTAATTAAATAGCTTATAAAAGTATTTATGAAAACAAATTTTAGAATGGCAAAGGCATGCCAACACGGAAGATACTTCTAATTCTGCCGGTGTCTTTTTGTGGATTTGGAGTTGGTTCAGAAGTGCACACTTGGAAGGTAATTGCTGACAGCATGCAGAATCCATCAAGCTATAATTAACACTCTACTATTATTCTAATTGCCTCACTCAAGCTTCTGTGTTTTTTAATTGTAGAGCAATTTGCCAATAGAGAATTTAATTGCAATACATATTTTATACATTTTGGGACAAAGTACCATTATTTCCACTTCAGCAAAAATGTTCCTCAGTTTTTAATAGCTTGCTTTATTCCTTTCTGGGATTTTTCAGGGTTTTTTTTTCACCTATACAGGAATTTGATTGCAACCTCTTGTGAAATTAGCAATGATATAATATCCAGGAGTGCCTGGAGGCTTCGGTTTGGATCATGACTCTATTAAGCTAGGAACTGTACATACATGTATCAGACACAGCCCTGAGGAGCTTGAAATCTAAACAGAGAAGACAAACTGAGGTGAGAACAGAAGCATTACCCCGCTTTACAGCTGGGGAAGCAGCCCCAGATGATTCACCTGAGGTGACCCCACACTCCTGGGGCACAGCCAGGAACTCACACGAGCCCCGGGCTCAGGGCACCCTTCATCTTCAACGTGAGCTGAGCTTCTGTCTCCTGGTTCCTGCAAAATGTTCTCTCTGGTTTGATTTGCAAGCTAGGCTTTCCAATTAACTTCTAACCACCCAGGACCTGCAGTTGCTTTTCACAGATTAATTGGCTTTCAGAGCAAGACCCAGCGTTGAGGAGCCCTGGTGATCTGCAGGGCACCCCAGAGGTGTCACACTGGATGGACAACAATGGCAATGCTGTCAGGCCTTGGGAAGGATGTGTTTGACTTCTCCTGGGGCAGGCTGAAGGTTGGAGGCAGTAAAATAGAAAATGATGGACCTTTGCTCTTTTTGACCATCCTTGCATCTGACATTTTTCATTTACTCCTCCATTCATTGTTGTAAATGCAGGTGAACCCAGTAGAAAGAAATGATGATGTCTGACTCAATTCAGAAGGCTGAATGATTTCTTTATTATAACTATAATACATTAATATACTATTTAAAGGAGATACTAAAAGCTACTACCTACTTTCTTTAACTACCATATCTAACTCGCAACCCTCTCTGGAGAGTCCAGCCCCAGGTAGGTTGGATTGGCCATCAGGCTCAAACAATCCTCACCAGAATCCAACCAAGCAGTCACCCCAGGTAAACAATTCTCCAAACACATTCCACATGGGAAAACAAGGAGCAGAAATAGAAATTGTTTTCTCTTTCTCTCCTCTGTGGTACTTTATGAAAAAAATTTGCAAGAGAGAAGAATGTGCCTGCCACAATTCACTTCTATTTGCAGGGCTACAAATCCATCTGTAACAACATTTGTCTTCTCCTAATAACTTTCATGATGGCTTTACACCCAACACCAGTGGTGTTGAGGTTTGCAAAATGACTGCTGCCGTGGCTACAGTGCCTTGTATTGCCAACCTGGGTGCACTGAGCTTACAATCAATATTATCGTGATGCCAAATGCTTAAAAAGTTTTCAGCGGGTGTGACAGAGTCACAGTCATTATTCAGCACAGCAACAGCCACATTAATATATCTCTTTGGTATTAGCTGCTCATGATTTGGCTCCTGCCATCCCAGTTGCAAGAGATGGCTTCTCTGGTGTAACCAGATCAACCACAGCATCAGCATTCCAGAGGTTTATTAGTTGTTCTGGTTACACCAGACCTGCAAGGACAATTTTATGGCTTGCTGCCACCCAAAGCTGGTGTCTTGTCTCTTGGATGCCAACCCCACTCCTCAGAGCTTGTTTTGTTGGTACAACCTGCAAGATGCATGACGTGATCCACAAGAGCCTGGAAGCAATGCCTGGTGATAACATCACTTCTCACTGCTTAAATGGGTGAAGCCAATTCAGCTTAGCAGCATATGACAGTGAGAATTAAAGGAAGAGATGATCAAGTCAAGCTTCAGTATAGGGTCACTAACAGTGCTGACATGAAAGTTTACCTTGGCCTCAAACTCTGAAATTTACCTTGCCATGACACAGAAACCTTTTCTTCTCTTGAAATTAGAGGCTGGTGCTTGAACTCTGGTCCTCCAGGAACATAAGGTCTTTGATCAAGACCAGATCATGCTTCCTTAATGTGAAAGTTCACTCAAGTAGCTGCTGTCATTTCATTTTTCACAGGCAATGAGTTAAATTGCTTTCTCAGCCCAGGACTGACACAGGCAGTTTGTAAAAAATTGTGCAAATAAGTAGATCCAATTAACTACATCCAAGTTGTGACACAACTTTGCCACCTCCAATTGCTTTTTATCCCACACTGGAGGACTTCTCATAAAGCTGTTGTATAAATGTATGTGTATTTATCTCATCTTTCTAAAGGCAGACTATCAAAATAGCTTGAGTGCAATTTCTCGTCAAGAGAGAAAGAGACAGCACTAGAATATTGCCTGCCATATGGATGGGCAAAATATA